AATATAGAAGTTTAGTCAGCACAGATTAACAATGTTTGGTTATACATGGAACTAAGGAAAGTCAAATATTGAAGGAATGATGGTAATACCAATCAGTGATGTATAACAGAGATACAATGTATGGAAAGCTATGTAATGGAAAGATATGTAACTTGCTGCTGATGAGATTAGTGTGTACAATGTAGGCTTATAAAACTCAATAATTTTTTTTTAAAAAAAAGAAGAAGTGCAAGACGACAAGCTGTTGATGTTACAAATGGAAAGTGATTAACCCATACTCAAGACATAATGAAAAATGACTGGTTACCCTATAGGGATCTTTTGAAGAAACAAGATAACAATTTTGTGATAAAAAGAAGGGACAAAGTGGGGTTTGATTATGATTGGTTAAATTATAGAAAAATATATGATTTATTTAATGTTGATAAAAAAGATTCGGTTTTAGGGAAAAGAATAATGAGATGGAATCTATATGGGAAGAAAAAGGGGAAAAACGATATCTAAATTGTATAAAGTCCTGTTAAAATGGTATACTGAGGAGGAAATGGTTAAAGGGCAAATGATTAAATGGGCTATTAATATGAATAAGGAAATAACTATGCAAACTTGGGAATATCTGTGGAAAAATTCAATGAAAATATCAACATGTACTAATGTAAAAGAAAATTGTTTTAAAATGATGTATAGATGGTATATGACCCCCCCAAAAATTGCAAACATGAATATTAACATGTCAAATAAGTGTTGGAAATGTAAAAATCATGAAGGTTCCTTTTATCATATGTGGTGGACTTGTGATAAAGCAGCGGCTTTTTGGACAGAGGTCCATGCCGAAATGCAAAATTTTTTAAAGGGTACATTTTAAAAAAATCCAGAAATTTTGTTGTTGGGTCTTAAGATGGAAGAGGTTAATGTGAAGAAAAAAACTTTGTTATGGTATTTGATAACAACTGTGAGAATGACGTATGCACAGTACTGGAAACAAGAAAAAGTACCAGAACTTTGGGACTGGATAAAAAAAATGCTCTTTATGGCAGAAATGGATAAACTAACAAAAAAACTTAACGGTAAAGAAGATGAAGAATTTTACGAAGAATGGAAAGACTTCAGAGAATATGTAGAAACAAAATGGAATGTTAAAAATACTTTGATAAGTTTTGATACTTACTAGAGAGACCAGAAAATGAATGGTAAGATATAGAACTGTTAAATGGAAGGGTTGTTACCTGAAAGATTAACTTTTATATTGTAAAACAGACTTTATAATTAAGATGGAATTTTAAGGGGGGAAAACGCACTGCGGGAAGCCATGTAACGGGGGGTAGGGATAAAAATCGAAAAATTGGATGCAAAAGAGACGATTTGTAATGGAAATTTTTTTAACTTTGGTTTTCTTTTGTATCTGGACAATAAAATATCTTTAAAAAAAACAAATGGAAAAATCAAATTTGACTCTCCGATTTCAAGGTATAAAGGAGGTGGAAAAAGAAGATCTCAGAAGCATGTTGGCGGATGCTCTGGCACCACTGACTGGCAGTGAAGCGGAAAAGTTAAGTGAAGAGATGGATTTGGTCTATAGAGCCTATTCCATCTATACAAGGAAAAATAATCTGCCAGCAGAAGTGGTCGTGAAATTTACCAAGCAGCGCGTCAGAGATCAAATTTTAAAAGCAACTTCATCAGAACCTTTGAAGATCGGAGAGCAGAACATAAGGATTTTAAAAGATGTTCCATTTGAAATTTGTATGAAACGAAAGGCATATAAGGGACTGACTGTATTCTTGCAAAGTAAACAAGTTAATTACAGATGGTTGATTCTAGAAGGACTGGTCTTTAAGTTTAAAGACAAGAGAGAAAAGATAGACTCCATCTTCAAGGCTCAAGACTTTCTGAAGAGGCACGCCAGTTCAGAGGACAAGGCAGAACTCGCCAAATGGACAGTATTTAGCAGTGAAGAAGACAGCAGCTCGGAGGGAGGGGACGAAGAATCGGAAGGTGAAGCAGCAGCGAAGGGTCCATCTTATAACCTGAGAGGCAAAAAGTGAAGCGCCCCAGTACCTGAAGATATGTTCGGAAAGCGCAATAAAGGACAGTATTAACCCAAAAGAGACATTATTAACATACTAATGGTCTTTATTTTTTACAGGTAAGGACGAAAGAAGACAGGACAATCACAGAAGAAGCCAAAGACATGTGCATGCTAATAACATAATAATATACTAATCAAAGCATCACTCACCACTTTTCTTGATCCATCTATACACCCTCCCCGTTTTCTGAATTTAAAAGCAATAAAATTATCTCCTTTTTAGGAGAGTTAATAATAATAATAAAAAAGAGATAGCTCTGAAGAGTGGAGTGATCCCTGGTCAGATATGTTTAGAAACTGCCTTTTGAGACCTGAAGAATCAGTAAACCTTGACTGCTGGTGGGTTTAGTGAAGGAATTTGGGTACTGGACAGAGTATCCCTGCCTTCTGGAAACAAAAAGATTCAAATACACTCAAGGAAGTATACTGGAGTGTTTGGGAAACACTGAAACAAACACCCCTCATTTTAAAGATTCTAAGTCACTGTGAAAAGCTTAAAAAACTCTCAGTTGTTTGAAACATATGAACTGTAGTCTGTGCCTATATTGATTTACCTCAGAAATTTTACCCCTGATTTCACCTGGCCTTTCCCCTGTGCATAGAATAATATATTTTGTTATTTTTTGAACTTTAAAAAGCCTTGAGTGCCATTTCAGTGGTTTAAGTTAAAGGGGGATTTTGACCCATTCCTCAGGTTTCTGGGCTGAGCCAGCTGCAAAATTTCATATCATGACAGGGTGGGGCAGCCATAGTTGTGCAGAAAAGAAGAAAATCAATAAATAGGGGTGCTCGGTCAGAAAGGGAGAGAAAAACCGCAGGAAAATCTTGCCTCCGAGGGAGGGAAGTAGGCAACGTTGTCATAACGTGTTTTAAATTCCATCACATCAAAACACCTTTGTTTAGAGAAATTAACCATTAATGCATGTCAGGAAATATTAACAGACCTGTTTTTTTAATTGCAAAAATGTTTTAGTGGAACATTTGACGCATCCTCAGAGCAGCATGCAAGTGGAAGCCTGGGAGCTGAAACTGGATCCTACTGAACCTTTGTATCCAAGCCCCCCCCCAACTAATATACCCTTGCTATATTCTGTTCCAAACAAATGTATTCTCCTGTGCTAACACACAGATAGGGGGCTCTTTAAACCCCTTCTCTACAAAAATGAAGCATAAGGGAGGCTTGAGTGGTTGCCCTATACTCTTCAGCTAATTCCTCTTACGTGCAAATCAAGGAACAAGGAAACAGTAAAGAGAAAGTGTCAGGATTAAAGAAAAAGGGTCATCACAGGGGGTGGGAAGGTGGCTAAAAAGCACTTTTCCTGTAGGAATGTTCACATGCCTATAACTGCATGAGGCTCACTTGCCCCCATTGCAGCCCCCATTGCATTTATCATCACAGTGAAAAAGCCTGCCTGTGTCCCATATATCGTTTAGGCCCTCTTTGCACTATCAGGGTCCTCAGTCATGTGCATGGAATATGTGCATATGCTATTTCCCATGTCACAGTGAAAGCATGGTAAATTGTAGAGCCCTGCTTGTTGGGTTTTTTAACCCTTAAAAGCTGCATGGGGCCCCCTGCTTTTTGGAAGGATCTGATGCTACTCCCAAGCTCTTCCTTTTTTGTTGTTCAGTCGCACAGTTGAGTCCGACTCTTCGCGACCCCATGGACCAGATCACACCAGGCCTTCCTGTCTTCCGCCGTCCTCTGATGTTGGCTCAATTTCATGTTTGTTGCATCTATGACACTGTCTAACCATCTCATCCTTTGCCGCCCCCATCTTCTTTGACCTTCAATCTTTCCCAGCATCAGGGTCTTCTCCAGTGAGTGCTCCCTTCTCATTCGGTAGCCAAAGTCTTTGAGCTTCAGTTTCATTATCTGGCCTTCCAGGGAACAGTCAGGGTTGATTTCTTTTAGGATTGACTGATTTGATCTTCTTGCAGTCCAAGGGACTCTCAAGAGTCTTCTCCAACACCATAGTTCAAAAGAAGCTCTTCCTTACTTTCTTTCTAGTCTTGTGATTGACTTGACAGTCAAACCAGTGATTCCTTTTATGTCTCATAACAATGTACAGCACAGAGCCCCCTGCCACATTAAGGTCATAACTCCAGCTCGACCTCTTCCTGTCATGTGACATCTTGTCATGTGCTTGTAGCTCAGTGAATTGTGTGTTGTCACATGGCTGTTAAAGGTGGGTCCTGAGTCTGGAAAGGTTGAAGACCACTATTCTGGTCGAATTTATTCCTCTATAATTCGGCCAGCAGTTGCAGCTAAAAGTTTAGGTATAAATACTACTTAAGAGATTTTTATTTCTTAGTATGCAAGGCTAGAGTTTCCAGAAATATGATAGCATGGATATGTTGGTCTTTGCCAGTGCCCAAGAGGACCACAATATATGTAAACAGGGGTCATTTCATAGAAAAAGAGGTGCAGGAGTTCATTAGCATAACTCATTAGCATAACTTATTTGCATATACCACACCCCCTGATGTCACCAGAAGTGTGTCAGAAGGCAACACCCACCACTCAGGCTCTACTGGACTGTTTTGGATTGCTAGATATTGGGGGGGGGGCATGCAGATCTGTTCTCGCAGAGGAGGGAGAGCCTGTACCTGAATAAAACTTGGTCTTAAAGGTGCCACTGGACTGTTTTGGACCAGGGGGCCGGGGGGAGCTCTGCAACTTATCTGGCTGCTTCTTGCTTTGACTGAGGGCTGCTGGGAGCAGGGGGTGGGGCTTGTTGCATGTGCCCGCCCCTGGGTTCTTTACTGCTGGAGCTCCGCTCCTGTGCACTCCCACAGGAAGTGACCCCTGTATGTAAATATCAGATGTATGCACTTACCAACGAATAAAGAAGCCAGTATCCTTACTGCAGCCGCAATCAATCTTTAAGAGAACGTATAAATGGATTACCTCTTTTGGAGCATCTGCCTGGATAAAATCTGAATAAATCTTTTGAGCTTTTGAGGCAATTTTAGCCGCTGACTTTGTTTTCTTGAAGTCCTCACAGGCCAGCCAGAATTCAATGTTTTCCTCGCTGAACTCTGATTTCAGGAAAGTCCTGAAGGCAGCCAGACCATCTGCAGAAATATGACAAACCGTTTGAGAAATCTGCAATCCAACCAGAAATCTACAATCCAACCAGGAATGGGAGGGAATCTAGTAATCAAAGATTGCACATGGTTCCATTGGCTTCTGGTCAGGCAGTTTCATTAATCTCTGCAGGTTTTGGGCATGGGTTTATATGGGCTGTTCACTTGATATGTAGACTTTGCTTCTCCCTCTTCAGATACAACTTTTGCATGCTAAAAAAGCTGTTGGGGCAAGAATAGGAATTTCACACACCCAGAACCCTTATGACTGGACATACTGGGAGCACCTGCTACTCATGATCCTCCTGATACATGTGGTTGCTGTGTTGTCTGAAAGGGGAAGTATGTGGATTGTGCACACACACATACAGCTTCTATACACACTACACAAACCCTGATATTTCATAATTTTGATTTGTGTTTACCAAAGCTGAAAATCTGCATGTTGCCCATTTCAGACAACACGGTGACCATACTTTTCAGGAAGATCTATGCACAGTTGCCAATTTCTTGATATGCATGGACTTTTAATGTCTGACAGGGACTCCAGTTAATCACATGATTCTTGCACAAAGTAAGCACAGTCAAGTGCTCTAATGCTCAGTGGCTAGACAGAAGTGAGTTCAGGGCTAAACTAGATGTTACGTTTTTTTTAAAGGGTTGGGGGAACTCTCATTCTCTTTAGTCAGCAGCTGCTGGGAACTAATTTCCCAAATGCTGTAGAGGCCCTGTTTGTTAATTATGGATTAAAAGTTAGCTAAATGGCAAAAAGCTGAGGATCAGAATAAATTGAAAATTCTTGTAATGAAGTAGGGTTGTCAGATCCCCGGTCCGGGTGGCAGTGCCCCTGATGTTCGGGCCTTAGTCCCACCCCCAAACAGGGATGTTGCTGGGCAATGTCCCCAATGTGATGATGTCACCTGGAAGTGATGTCATCGCGTCGCCAGCATTGGGGGGGGTGATGCTCTAGTTTTTGGGCAATCTCTATGGTTTTGAAGCAAAAAAAAACACCATACAGTTTTGCCCAAAAACTAGAGCATCACCCCTGAAATTGGTGACACAATGACATCATTTCTGGGCCCCTGGAACCCCCCACCAGAGCACAGGTAATGGAGGGAACCCTGTAATGGAGGGAAGTGAACAATGGCCTACCACAAAGATCAGTTTTGGGACCACTGCCATCTGCCATTTAATTTGTTCAGAAATGTTTTGGGATGGGGAGTGAGCCATGCAGTAGCCAAGTTTGCAATAATACTAGGTTATACAGGATGGTGAAAGCCAAGGCAAATTGTGATGGGCTACAGAAGGATCTCTTTAAATTGGGCGAGTGGGCAACAATGTGGCAAATGAAATTCAACATGGGTAACTGTAATAAGATGCATATGAGAACAATCCCCCCCCCCATTTTAAATATATATATATGCTGATGGGGTCTGAATTGGCTGAGACTGAAATCGAAAGAGATCACGGGGTTCTAGTGAAAGCTCAATGAAAATATCAACCTGGCATGTGGCAGCAGTAAAAAAGAAAAGCTTCTTGCTAGGAATTAAGAAAGGGACTGAAAATAAAACGGGCGATATTGGAATGCCCCTATATAGATTAATGGTGTGGCCTTATTTGGAATACTATGCAAAGTTCTGGATAGTGTATCTCAAAAAGAACATTGCAGGGCTGGAAAAAATACAGAAGAGAGCAATCAAGATGATTAGGGGGGTTGGAGCACCTTTCCTATGAGGAACGGCTCAAGAGTCTATGACTTTTCAGTTTAGAAAAGACAAGAGGTGGGACCCACGATACTTGCGGGGGGGGAGTATTCCCTGCAGCTCCTGGCCGGCCAGCCACTGAAGCAGCAGGAGCTCCACATAAAGGAGGCAGTGGCAGCAGGTGAGCCCAGCAGGTGGTCCGCCAGGCTTCTCCCCCCCACTGCTGCCGCCACTGACAGCAGCAACAGCAGCAAGCCCTGCGCAGCTACCAGCTGCCTTCCCGCCCACCAGGCTTCTCCTCCCCCCCCAGCAGCAATGGTGGCAAGCCCTGCACGGCTCCCCGCCGCTGGGCCCACCAGGCTTCTCCCCCTCCGCCACAGCAACGGCCATGGCTCTCAGTAAAGTAAATATCCCCCATATAGTAAAGTATAGTAAATATCCCCCGTATAGTTTTTTAAAACTTTTCAGATTTTTTTGACTACTCCAAGGGTGCAGGAAAATCTTACTGCCCCCCAGGTGCCCCCAATGTGCGGATTTAGATATCCGCATGGAGGGGGCAACTTGGCTATTAGATATATAGATGGCTAAAGGGAGATATGATAGAAGTTTATAAAATTAGGCATGGAGTGGAAAAAATGGATAGAGGGAGCTTTCTCTCTCTCCCCCATAATACTAGAACTCTGGGGGCACCCAGTGAAATTGTTGAGAAATCACTTCAGGACAGACAGAAGAAAATACTTTACTCAACAAGTAAACTGTGGAATTCCCTGCCAGTGGAGGTAGTGATGGTCACTAGCATAGATAGGTTTACAAGCAGATCAGATAGATTCATGGAGGGGAGGTCTATCTATTGCTACTAACTGACTAGCTGTGGTGACTGAATGGCGCCTCCATATACAAAGGAAGCAGACCTCTGAATACTAGCACTGGGAAGCAGCAGAAGGGAAAGGCCTCAGCCTGTATGCCCTAATTGCTTGGCCTTCCAGGGGAACTACTTGGCCACTGTGTGAAATAGTATGCTGAACTAGATGGACCACGGCTGTGATCCAGCAGGCTCTACTTATATTCTTAAGAGACATACACGGGCAATACAGGTGCCGCCATTGTTTGTTAAATACACCAGACTTACTTCGGACAATTCAGCCTCCTAAGAATATTGTGGCCGGGGGGGGGGGGGGTTTCTAGTTATTGTGCTAAAGATAATACTTTGAAATGTGTGAGGAACACCTGGTAAAATCTCAGAAGCTGGCTGGGTTGCCAAAGTTTTTATTGACCCGGGGATGGGGCTTTATGGCACCGCATGCCTCCTTGGCATCCCAAGAGTAGTAGAAGCAGCATAGCTGGGCTGCTGCCCAGTTAAAGAAATCACAGTTAATTCATCATATGAGTTTAAATTGAGTACTTGATTAACTAATCAATTGATATCTGCATAAATCTTCAATAGCATAAAACAACTGCTCTTTTGAAAAGCATTACATTTTCATTTTTAGACAATGCATGCACATCAGAACATCGTCTTAAAGGAGGCATCTCCTCCTTAGCTCTTCTAAAGTTGCACACATACTAAATCCACTTTCAATCCACTTTCAGTGCTGTTTCCAACTGGATTTTACTGTGTGAACTGGCAAAATCCAAATCAAAAGTGCATTGAAAGGGGAATGAAAGTGGATTATTTAGTGTGTGTTTTCAGCCTCTGGTGGACACTGCCACCCATTGTTTTTGTAAGCATTTGTATCATAAAGTAATTAACAATTTAAACAAATGTGTTACCAGATGTTTTAATTGATTGCCCGAATAGGTTCATCAGCTAACAGTGCAGTCCTGTGGAAAGTGACTACCCTGAGCCCATGGAAATCAATTTATACTGATATTAATTTTTTTAAGTCCACCTTCCCTCCAAGGAGCTCAGAGTTGCTACACAGCATTCTCCACCGCGAGCTTGTTGCAGAGTGGTACTCTGAAGTCCAGTCTCTCCAGTCCTAGACCAAAGCTCTAGCCAGTGCCCTACACTGGCTTCTGCCACAAGTGCACACACAGCTTTGAAAACTGTATCTGCTGAGTTGATAGGTGAGTACCAGGAGAAGCTTTTACTTTCTTTTGGGGGGGGGGGCAGAACCAAACTGCAAACAACAACAACAAATACAATGCAAATCAGATCCGTTCAGAGAATGGTCTGATGGCAGACAACTAAGCTGGCTATGGGCAGGTGTTCTTCTGCTGCCACCTCCTGGCCCCTGCTGCTGAAAGAATGAGTGGTGAGGGGAAAATGGAGAAGCCGGGGGGGGGGGGTTTTGTGTATGTGTCTATGTCCCTTCCAGCTAAAACCCAAAAGTGACATCATCAACAACCTAGGATTTTACCGATCTAGAGATCAACAAAATCCTAGAGCATCAATAATGTCACTTCCAGGTGTCAGTTGTAAGTGATGTCTGCACTCCCCCCATGGCCTGGTCCTTTGAAGTCTCCTTGGGGTTGCAGGCATGCACCTGGCAACTCTACACACAACACTGCTTTTCTGCTGAAGCTAAACAAGTCTATCCCCTGGAGGATATGGTGGGAACGACATATGAACTCCTTTGAAATCTGTAGAGCAGGGGTGTTGAACTCATTTGTTATGAGGGCCAGATCTAACATAAATGAGACCTTGTTGGTCCAGGCCATGTGTGTCATAAAATGTAATGCCAGGTAGCAGAGATACAAACTTTATAAAGAACACAAACACAAAGGTTTTCTCTACTTAAAATAAACATGCTTAAAACATTAGCACTCTTGCAATATTTTGTTTATTTAACAGTGTCTGATAACTGACACCTCTTGCTCTGAATTATGGCATCAAAATGTCTGTGCTGTTGCAATCTTGAGTATTCTGTTCAGGTGTGTATCTGTAAGCTGCAAACCTACGATGTCGCAGCATCAGCAGAACTGGAAGACGAAGCAGAAGACAGCCAGCTCCACTGGGGGCCTGATAGAAGCCCTCCGGGGGCCTAATCTGGCCCCCAGGCCACATGTTTGACACCCCTGCTGTAGAGGATGGATAGCATATATTATTATAATGGTTACCTTTGCACAGGTGAGTCTTACCTTTATTAGCTAGTAGTGTATCCACAGATTCCATCCATGCCATTGTTCCCCTAGGGGGTGACCTGTGGAAACAACATCTACCCTTGAAAATAGCATTGTGATCTTTTGCCAGTGCAGTCTGCTGATAGACTCTATGTGGCATTTATATCCGTAGCCATTGTATCAACACGGCAATAGTAAGGGTCATTTTCAGTATCACACTACACATTAACCTGCAAAAACACCTTCCTGTGCAGATAACCCTATGGGATGTTGAGTGTAGTTTGACACAGGTTTCTAGATTATTAATCTAGAAGAGAGTGGTAATAAAGAATGCAGTTGGATGAACAATAAAACCCAGGAGAAGTAACACTGATTTTTCAGTAGAGACTTGCAGAATACCATCTCTGCACTCAATGGGCTAACCATTAATTTATATGATCCTTTTGCTACCGATGACTAGAGCTATCTAAAAGGTTATCATGCTAACACTGGAGTGATAAATGGGCTATTTCTCAATTTCTTACTGGTATTAAAAATGGTTTGCTTCACAGTTTTGGTTCTTAACAAGATTTTGATTAAGTATTTGTTAAAGCAGTAATAGAATTCCCTCCCCCCCACCACCCCGCCTCATTTTGTTTCCTGCTGGTGTCAGGAGGAGCTGTCTTGCCCCATCTCTGAGAAAGCACAAAGAATCCAATTAGCTCAATATATTCTCAGCTCAGGTCAGATTTATCTAAATCTAGGAACTTGTCAGGGCAGAATAAGATCTTTTCCAAACTAGTTAATAATTTTAAGTGCTCTCTGCTTCCAAAGAGGCATTCCCTTGGGCTTGATGTATGTGCTATCAGGCCGAAAGCATATAGTCCCTGAGAATCTGAGGTTATCCATAATCCCACTGACACCCCCAATTCGTTTGTTACATAAATCTTTGACTATGCAGTGTTTCTAAAGAAGAGGTGTTAATTTCTTTTAATGCTTCCTTCACTAGTTTCACCATCTATTTCTAAGTAGGTGGCTTGCTGGAGAGCAGCATAGGTTGTCAGTGCGTCCCAGGAGTACACGTGGCAAGACAAATGGTTGCTGAAGAATAATTTCTGCGTTGGCACTGAAAGGTGTTTTACACATCACGTTTTCTGTACAAGGAGATAATCTTGGTGCGGGCCATGCATCAGCAGTTGCTGGCTGTTGACCCAGATCTGCTCCATTGAAGAATACAATCTGGCCTCATAGTTGCCAGCTGAGGGATGCATGGGTGAAAGTAACAACTTTTTTACAGCTATGGTAGGGTTGCCAGTAAGTGGATTGTTTATAGGCTCGGTCCCTTTAAGACTGTATTTCAGCAAGGGTTATGTCCAGCTTGTAACTGTATGTCTTTTAATGTAATTACGCACTTTATACTTTATTTGTACTTTGTCTGATAGCTTACCTTATATCACTATAAATATTTTTGCAAAAAACAGATTCTGTTCACATTCTTCAAGGCTGCTTTTGTATGTTTGGCCGAGCCCCTAGGTGATGGCTGGAGACCTGCTGTTACAACTGATCTCCAGGTGACAGAGATCAGTTTACCTGGAGACAATGACTGCTTTGGACTCTATAGCATTATGTGCCAAACCACTCCCTCCTCAGGCTCCACCTCCAGGTATTTCCCAACCTGGAGCTGGCAACCCCTATGCTACGGTCCGTCTCAAGGACTGGAAGCAGAAGATGACAGATACCACTTCAGCTCCTTTCTTACCAGGACTTTGTACCGACTTGTACCGGCTTAATTTTATCCCTAGGCAAGAAAGACTGGAAGGCGTGGCCATGAGCCTTGGTAGTAGTAAATTAAAGCTGAGCTCTAGCCCACAACCCTCCGCTGCCCCTTTTTTTTTTTTTGCGCTGCTCCAGTCAAACCAATAGTTGAACAGGGGTGTAGAGGAAAGAAGAGTGGATTAATGTATGAGTTTATTTTGCCATCAAACTGCTTTTGGGGAAGCCAGCACTTCACAAGCCAGTAGCAGTGAACATGAGTCAGGATTTACCAAAGCGTAGGCCCTGGAGTTGTTTTCATTGCCAATAAGTTATATAGCAGAGAACTCATCAGTACATGTTCAGTTTGATGTCCTTCCACTATGCTGGAGCCACAACGAATTAGCACATGTCTGGGATGAAGGGGACGGAACTTTAGACCAGAAGCTGAAGCTTCCGGGAAGGTGAGAGCCTCAGTGCATCTGACTGAATACACTAAGGCTGTGGTCATACACACTAAATAATCCACTTTCATTCCATTTTCAATCCACTTTCCAACTGGATTTCGCAAGTTCACACAGTGAAAATCCAGTTGGAAAGTGCACTGAAAGGAGATTGAAAGTGTATTATTTAGTGTGTGTGACTGCAGCCTAAGTCTACAGTAAAGGATTTAAACCCTGAGCTATATTCTAGGCGGTGTTCTAAACCAGGGTCACCCAAACGCATTGACCCTGTCGGGGTTGGTCTTTCTTCATTTAGTGGTGAATGTCTCACCCAATGAGGGAGGACAGGATCTTATATCCTGCTGAGGACCAGGCAGGCTGAGACTTTTCTTCCTCTATTTTATTTGGGGGGATCTATACATTTTTCTTCTCTCTTGCCTCCAGTGAGCACAGGACAGTATACACCTTCCATTTTATCCTCATAAGAATCCCGTAAGGTAAAGCTGGCTGAGAGAGAATGATTGGCACAAGGTCACCTTGTACATTGCCTGAAAGGTGAGGATTTGAACTCAGGTCTCTCTGATCCTAGTCCATTACTTTAACCGCCACACCACACTGGTGTGCATTTTCCTGCAGGGGGGGAACAGGGAGGGGAGACAAATCATCCTGATCATATTCCAGTTTGCCACAGTGGCTTTTGCATCTTTAATTGGATTTGATCAAGACACTGAGTGATCTATTGCATACTGTGGTCTATTGCACCCTATGTACAAGACATGGACAGGAGCATGCAAGGTTTCTGAGTAACCTGCAAGCCTCTGTCATGAATCACACTGTCTCTGCTCTGCATCCTCCAGCTGAGGCAATGTGGGTGTTGTGATAAGGCCCAGTTTGCCCTGGGAGGATTGCATAGAGGTCCCTAGTCCCCTTGGCAAGCCCAGTGAAGGGACAGAATATTTCGAAGGAACTGACATTTAACTTGCATTAAAATAATGTGCTTAATATACAATGTGGGCAAGCCTACTAAATGTAAGGACTAAAGAGAATATCATTGTTGCATAATTAATGACCACTGTAGTGACAGTAAGGCAGACATTAGCTAGCTCTTTGGTACACAAAGGAGCACATGTCCTTTTGAAAGTCGATGAAAACTTCATGTGTTCCCAGTTGCTTTTTATGGGGGAGAATGCTGGACAGAAGAATGAGAGGGAAAAGATTGCCAGAGCTGACATTTGATGCTTGGAAAATTAAGAAATCTTTGGGGGTTTCAAAAGTTCTGGCACTGATTGGAACATTAAACCATGTTCTTCCTTTTTAATTTGTACTGCATCAGGTCTCTGCTCAGTTGAGGAGGCACTTATTTTTACATTTGCATATGCCCTATTGTATTCTGTTGGAGAGATCCCATTATGTGGGTAGTTTGTTGCTTAAACATACACTCTTAGCAGCTGTTCAGGACAACTGGGTCGAATGAACAGTAATAGAAAAGAAAAAAGAAAGAAAGAATTTGGGAGCATCCCAGTAGAAAACAGTCTGAAGCCCCCCAAGATGTTGTTGGTTTTGTTAACAGATACATTTATTTATTTATTATATTTATACCCCGCCCATCCTGCAAACAGGCTCAGGGCAGCTAACGAGAGCGGTACAATGTACCTAATTGGCATAACCATAAAAATTTAAAACTACATAAAATACATACTAACTCATGTCACATAGTAAAATAACAATGTACAATAAAGTACTAACAAATTAGATGGCATGCTCTTCAGATCTAAATCCGCGTTGTCCATCTGGTTATCATCCCTCGAGCAAATACAGGCCAAGCGATGCATCTGGGCCAGTTCTAAGTTCCAGGAGTTCAATGGAATCATTGATGGCAACAGTAGCGGTGGCGGCTCCTATATAAAAGCCTGGTGGAAGAGCTCCATCTTGCAGGCCCTGTGGAACTGTAAAAGGTCCCTCAGGGCCCTGATCTCCTCCGGGAGCTCGTTCCACCAGTAAGGAGCTGCCACAGAAAAAGCTCTGGCCCTGGTACTGGTGAGCCTTGCATTCTTGGGGCCCAGAATGGTCAAGCAACGTTGTATTCTGGCACCGCCGCCATATATGAAAGTACGTTCCTATGTTATTTCTACATCTCCAACAGTTTCCAGATACATTTACGTAACATTTCTGGTGCTCCTATCATGCATTTTGGGAGGGCATACTACTTGGGATCATCTTGATATGCACGGTTGCAATTTTGCCTGATTTGGGTACCATGCATAAATTACTTCTGCCTTCAGTATGTGGAAACAATAAGGGGGAAAAAACCAGGGCTTCTGTTCATATATACCAAAGTCATAATATACTCATGTTGCTCTGTTTAGACAAAATGGCAATTGTGCATAGCATGCTCCCTTACTACACAGAATAAGAGTACTGGAAATGTAGTAACTTAAAGGGGCTAATGTTAATTGCTGCTTTAGGAGATGTGTAATAATTGACAGGGGTTAATTTTAATGGCCGGTTTAGGGGATGTGGCTCACTCTGTTGAAGGCCTGAGTGACATGTTATATTCTTCACATGAATGCTATTCCATGACAGTGGGGAAGAGTTTGGAAAAATGTAATACTTGACCCAGTTGCCCTCCTATTTAAAAATACTTTTCTTATTTATTTAGCTCTGGTAGATTATAGTCCTGCAGGTTTACACTGTTAAAGCAAAAAACACTAAGGAATCTTGTGGCACCTTAAAGATGTCTTGTGTAGGGTTGTTAGACCCTCTGGTGGCAGTGGGGCTCCCCTGCCTCTAGGCCCTGCCCTCAGCTGCTGATCAGCTGGTTAGCGTGGGGTCCCCTGAGGGAAATTACCAGGTGAAAGAGGAAGGCCAAGGCCACATCACCAGCATTGCACAGGAAGTGACATCATCATGCCAGCAACATCCTGGCAATGTCCTGGCAAAAACTCTATGGTGGAAGCTGTTTTTAACTATAGAGTTTTTGCCCAAATACCAGAGCATTATATTGATGGCACAATGTGATGATATCACTTTTTGTGCAATGCTGGCAATGTGGCCTGGCCCTTACTCTTTCTCCTGGTAAGTCCTCCCCATCCCCCACCAGTCGACAGGAGGGACCTGGCAGGCCTCGTGTTGTGACACAAGCTTCTGTGGACAAAATTTGATTCAAAATGGAAGGTTGCACAAATTAGATTATTTTAGGGAAAGCACTGAGTTTGGTTTTGTAAGAAGAATTGAGTGTTTGTAGTAGATTTGATGACATTGCACAGCTTTAGAAACACATGTTAATTTGGTGAATTTACCATGCTAAGGAGGAAGGTCAGTTGCAGTTACTTTTGTGGTTTTCACAAGAAAGATATTAATTTATATGTGCAAAACATGAAACTCGGAGATAAAAGTCATATACTTCTTTTATTTGAGGGTAGTACCTGAGGGTAGTACTTCTTCTACCTGATGATAGTACGAAACATTACAAGAAACAAAGAGGTGCGGCTTAAAGTGGTAGCTTGAACTTCTACAACATCTGGTTCAACTTACACTGTGGCTTGACATCATTGCACTGTATATTTCCCTGGTGTGCCAGCAGCAGCTAATGAGGAGAAGCGTGGGAAGAGAAATGCGTGCTGTGACAATGACAGGATGTGGACTCAGTTATATTGGTCATTATGGAGAGAAAAATGTGACACGGTCTTCCGTTTGCAGAGCTTCTGTCCTAGACATCTCTTTTTCAACAGTAAGAGGTGGCTTAAGCTATTTTTTAAAGGCATTCCTAGTGTCTGTATTATCTAGAAACACTCAAGGTGACACAAAAAGAGACGTCTCAGGCCTCCGTCTGAAGGTAGGGATCAAAGTATCCTGAGGTCCTTCAGTCAAGCAAAGTGGGAAGCATAAGAAAATAAAAGAATGTGCATGAAGTAGAACTCACCAAGGAATAGACAGATAAGCTCATTGGATAACCTTGGGCTAGTCACTCTCACATTTAGCGGGGGGGGGGGAGGTCTCTACTATAGTGAGAGGCCTCTTAGCCTCTCCCTGTTCCCTGCCAGTGCTTCAAAACCAAATGGAGGAAAAGGGGGGGGCACACACTGGCAGCACATGACTTTACTTCTGGCAAGTGATGTCGTGAGGATGGGGGTGATGATCTAGGATTTGCCCAAAGCTCTGTGGTTTAACAATAGAGTTTTGGGAAATCCTAGAACATTGCCCCTAACATCATGACATTACTTCCAGTTTTTCACCTGAAGTGACATCACACACCAACATGATGCTGGTGTGTCCATCCATGCCCCCCAGTTCTCCAAGCCTACTTTTAGCCTAATCCACTTCCCAAAGTTGTTGTGAGGATAAAATGGAGGAGGGGAGAAACTTTTATGTTGCCCTGAGCTCCTTTGAGGGATAGTGGAATTAAAAAAAAAAATAGGTAGGGATAGTTTTTAAGGGCAACACTTAGCTTAATGAAGGATTATTGTTCATAGGGCTGTGAGTAGGGTTGCCAGTTCCCTCCTGGCAACTGGTGGGGAATGGGGGGGTCTTACTAGGAGTGGGAGGGAGACCCAGAGAACATTGCAGTGATGTGTCTACGTCACTTTCAATGTGATCCAGAAGTGACATCATCATGAAGTGAAGTTGGAGCAACACTCTGCTATTTGGGCAAAAACTCTATGGTAAATTTGGCTTCTACCATAGAGTTTTTGCCCAGATACCTGAGCATTGCCCTGATTGCTGGTAGGACGTCACCCCCCAAGAATCGTATGTGGCCCTAGATAGGTGTAACTAATTGTCTGTAATCTGCTCAGAGACCCATCGGGGTCAGAGCGGTATAGAAATGGAAAGATAAATAAATAAATAAATAAATAAATGTTGTTGTGTAATGACATCATTTCCAGATCACATTGGAAGTGACATAGACATATTGCTGCAACATTGACTAGGCCTCTCTCTTTTTCTGGCCAAGTCCCCCCTGCCAGTCAGCTGATTGGTGGCAGGGCAGTGGAGCCTGGTGGCAGGGGGCCCTAGCTGTGATAAAGGGATGGTATCTGGGATTTTAATTCTAATTTGAGAGTTCTAGCAGGCTCTTGCCACCCTAATATTAATGCAGTTTTCTTCCGCATCTAAACTTCCACATCTAAACTTCCAAGAGGCATGAACTGCAAAATACTGAATAGTTAGTAACCTCTGTTAGCTGCCACTAGCATAAAGTACCTGTGGTGTTGATCAAAGAAAATACTAGTTGCAAGATATTTAGTTTTGTTGGGGGGTGTAATGTATCAAGTTCCAACCGCGTGGTCAGTTTGGGCACCACACGGTCAAGAGCAAGTGTCGAGCTTCGCTCCGATAAACAAAGGACGATGCGGATCCTAGCCTGCACCAACCAGAGGGCTTAGGCTCCGGGCCGAGAGCTTATGGGACTCTTGGCCATTAGTTAGGACCTATTGGGAAGTGGGGGGGTGTTCTGGGTGGTGGATTTTCGGGGATATAAGCCGGCCTGCGAGCCAGCTACTTTGTCTTGTTCTTGATCTAATAAAGTACGCTAAGCTGAAATAACTCGTCCGTCTGCGTACTTTTCAGGGGGGTACTTTAGGGCCAAAAGTAGATGTGATGGTGTCCTCATGTCAGCCATGTGGATGCCTCCACTGTTTTAAAGCCTAAAATTGGCAATTTAAAAATGCTGTGTGGGCCTGAGGCTCTCTTGTTTCCCCCATGCCTTTTGATGCACCAAAACAGTCCCTCTCCTCCTGATTGGATGCTTGCAGGTGTTTTTAAAGTGATGGTGTTCCCATGATGGACATGAGGATACCATCACACCTAATTTGGCCTTTAGGCTTCCTGACTCTTGGATATGCAGTCGGGTTGCCAGCTTTCAGGTGGGTACTGGGGATCTGCTGGAATTACAACTGATATTTGGACTACATAAATCACTTGTTTCTTATTATTTATTTAAAACATTTATTTAACTTCTCCTGGAGAAAATGGCTGCTTTGGCGTCCCTCCTCTCCCTAAACACCACTCTTCCAGGCTCTGCCTTCAAATCTCCAGGTATTTTCAAACCCAGAGTTGGCAACCCCAATGCATTGTATTATTTTCTTTCTGTTCAGTGTAAGTGAGGTCAAATTGACTGAAGTGTCCTTTAAGTAAAGTGCCACATTTTAAAAAGATACACAATTGGAGAGGAGAATAATCACCAGTTTTATTGTCGCAGAATACATAGTATATGAATTAACATAAATTAGGGAGCAAGTTATAAATGTTTTAATGTACTACTGTGATCTGTTGTGGACTCCTCTCCCTGTGTTCTCCATAAATAAGGCTAAGGAATTTTTGTTTGGTTAAGCTGATAAGAAGCTAACTGGTACAACAGTCTCTGATTTTGAAATAAGTAGTCATAAACAAGCAACTCACTTCACTGGCATGTTTCGTTCCACTGCTTGTCACAGGTCACTCTGGATTTCTCTTACTGATTGATCTTCAAGATGAAGGTAACAGGAGAGCAGGAACAGTGACCATTGGCAGGTGAAGAGCTAAATCATAGAAGATTTCAAATGGACATTTTGTATTTAAAATACTTTCAGAGGATTTTATTGTTCTGAAACAAGGTTTGTATTGCCACAGTCGTCAATACCATTCAACATTCCCCCCCCTTGCAAAAAAGAGAGAACATTTTTTATATGTGTTGGTTCTGTAATAATGGTTAAATCCTGCTGGAGTCAAGTTATTGAGAGAGGAGGAGGAAAAACTGAAAGGGATAACCTACCTTTGAGGTGATTTTATTAGGATGTAAATGGGGGGGGGTGTTTTTAGGAAATTAGCGGGGAAATGAAGATGGCTAAAACAAAATAGTGGCCTGTATCCAACTATGGATTTTCATTTGCGGGAGCATCTATTTCTGTTGATTTACAGAACCCCACTTTGCTCCCTACAGGGGGTCTGAGGGTTTACTGACTTCCAAGAACAGAAATCTGGGGGCATAGTGGGATGCAGTAGGACAGGGAAACAGGAAGGGTCCATTCGGCAAAGTCCATAGGAGGATGTCAAGTGAGCTCTGTGGTGCCCGTGGTGAACTTATGATGCTCTTTATCACCCTGCGGGGGATCACCATTCCTTCCTATTGAGTAGTGTCAAAATGCAATGAAATTATGTAAATAAATACAATGGGACTGAAATGGATTGAGAACCAAAAGAAGTGTTTTCTGAATATATGATTAATGTGTGATTATTTAAGGTTTTACATTATGAATGACAGTCTTTTCTGATTGATTCAGGTGCATAGTGTGTTGGACTGAAGCAACAGAACAAAGTTTGAGTCCAGTTGCACCTTTAAGACCAAAAAGATTAATTCTGGATATAAGTTTTCTTTTCCTTTTGATATGGAACCTTTCCTTGTTTTAGATTTTGAAAATTATTTTTTCCAGCGACTTTATTCCTTAGGCTGAAATAGATGCAAGCCATTTCAGCGACCCTTCTCACTCACTCCCTGCTTCCCACTACGAACCTCTCAAAAACCATATGAAGGGTTGTGGGAAGGTTATGGATAAGGATGGGCATGAACCTCATTTTGCGAACCAGGAACCAGGCCAAATTTGTGATGAATTTAGATTCATGGTTCAGTTTGTACCCATCCCTAGTCTTCAGTAAAACACCACTGTGGGGGATGGGGGCAGCTAACTGGTCTTCCTCAGGCCGTTTTCCACTCCCTTTCACTGGTTTTTAAACTAAAAGCAGCCATGGGAAGCCACAGTCTTGAATAAAGCAACCATGTGTGTGGTGAGCAGGGGAAGGGGTAAAGGCATGACCCTTTCCCCTCAGGTCACTTTTTGTCAGTGTTTGAAGCGTCAGTAAACACACATACCAGTTTGGCTAGTGCTGACTATACACAGTGGTTTTATTTACAGAGATATTTACATACAGTCCTGCTGCACTTGTAGACTCCAAATCGTCATGCAGTCCGTCAAAGTGCTTCACATACAAATACATTCACCAGAGTGAATAACTACTCACTCCCTGTACACAATATATACACCACAGCACCAATCAGAGTCCAGTGCTGACTCATGGTGACATCATTTAGGCTGATGCAACTTAGATGCAATCCTGTACCTGGTGACACATCACATGACATCTCAACTGTCATCCCAGATCAGGATGATCTACACCATTTATCTTTACCCAGGCTGTCATCTTGTCCCCATACAGAACAGTATGCCGTCACTTTTTGCCAGTCTCCTGCTACTTTTGTCTCCATAAGGGGAAAAGATAGGTCCTTTCTTTTTCTCCTCTGGGTGAAAGAAACATGAAGTGGACTTCTGAGTGGACAAAAAACAAGGACTGAAAGGGCTAAGCCACCTCCCTCTGCTGCTATTTGTCTTAAGATCCCCAATTCCCAGATCTGCTTATCCTTTAAAAGTTACATGGCCAATGATGCCATTCTAAAGTTGCGGTCACATGCACCAGATGAAGCGGAGGGGAAGAGAGCTATTTCCTTCAGAGGAATTTGACCTGCAGTTGTGCGATCACACAGTACTTGGAAGCTGTGGGCACAGCCCGCCATTGCATGATCAGATGCAATCACGAGTGAGTCGGGTTTGTTTTTTTTTGCTGTTTGTTTCTGATGAGCTTAAACGAGGAATCGATGAATCGCATCTCTGCACTGAGGGCTCTCTATGCAGTTTGTGATGATGCACATACTAAGAAGGGGGAAGAAAACAACGGCACGGAGTCAAGATGGCCTGATCAGACTATCCCGATGCCATGAGAGTGTGCTGGAGCGATCAGACATGGGAAAGTCCTTCCGTGGCCCGTCACAACCCGTTAACTACCAGATTTCCCCCGGTGTCTTTTAACTCTGCTTCAGCGGCGGAGCAGAACAACGGGTTGTTAATGGCTGCAGGGTGCTTCCCAGATGTTGTTGTCTGATCGCACCCTTTAAATCTGCCCGGCATTCACGCCTATGGCAGGTCTAATTGTGCGTATGATTGCAGCCTATGCAAAGCTACTCCAACAACTTTAGAAGAGTGTGAGGGCCAAACTACATGATATAATAAGTTGGTACCAGACCTGACTTGTTTTCTCTGCAACCTGCATTTTCCCAAGTCGGAATATACGGAGTATTCAGGGCAAAGACATGTGCTAAGTTATGCAAATAACATCCCACCACAGCTGTTTCTGCTCAGTAAAATGACATGGGGGGGAGCAGGAGCCCCCTCCTCCCCTAACGCTGCTGTCCCAAACCAAATAGTGCTCCCACAGGCAATGCTCCCTCTAAGCTGTGGAGTCTCGTGAGCAAAAATTCTATTTTGTGAGCTACTGGCGTTAAAGTTGTGAGCGAGCGATTTCGCAACTGCATAAATTAGTTTGCTCTGAAGCCATCCTTCCTGAGCTAAGACAAACAGGTGTGAGCCAGAGGCTAAAAAGCTGTGAGCTAGCTCACACTAACTCAGCTTAGAGGGAACACTGCCCACAGGCTTTGAAAATTATGTCTCCCTCAGCTACTGTGTGGTTTCAGAAAAAGCAAGTCAGGTTTGGGGAAACCCTGACTCAGGTTGCTAAAAAACATATATAGGCTGCGGTCACACGGAGCATTAGGCACGCTAGAGAGACAGAAGATAGGCGGATTTTCCAGGTGCGATCTCACCGCCACATCTGGGAAGCGTAGAGCTCCCGTGCCGAACCCGAGGCTTCCCGCCAAAGATGAGTGGTTAAAAACTAGTACCTCGGAGGTACTCGTTTCCGGTAACCGTGAGGCAAGGGCGGGCGTCTGATCGCGTTTCCGGTGGTAGTTCCGGCGCCCGCCCGTGCCCCCTCATATAAAGGGTTCCCCCCCCAACTGTCTATGGGATGCGCACGAGCACCCAACAGGGCATGCACACACTTTGGTGTCCGGAGAAAAAAACACCCGTTTGCCGCACCGCGCCGCTTCTTTGCCGTGGCGCAGGATTGTGGTGTGCTCGGCACCTCCCCCCTACCACGGGACCTCCATGGGACCTACACGGTATGTCTGCTGGTGCAACCGCACATTATTTTGCCCTGGGGCAGACAGCCACGCTTCCCCCCTGCATTTTCCTGCCTGTGTGCCCACAGCCATCGTGTAGTTTGGCCCTAACTCTGCTTGTGATTGCATTGAAAGAGTCATGTGTAGTATCAGACTAAAGCACCACCACTCTCCTAGCCTGCAGTTCACGAGTGCAAACCTTCCCCATTTTCATATGTGAAATGTAGCAACTTCTGCTAAATGTAGGCAGCACTGGAACGAAGCATCGTTTTTTCTCATTCTTCAGAAAAGAATTACTCTGTCACAGTTATTTTGTGAATGTATGATTGCGCTGGGTCAACTTGGAAAAATTGCTCACAGAAAAAAAATCAATACAATTTCATATATTTGCAATTGTGTCTAATCCTGAATGTCCTTGGACAGGAAGGATGATGATAAGCATGCTGATTCGAGTCTGCAAAGTAATAATGTGGCCGTGCATCCCTAGGTCTGGCAATAATCATGTTTTTAGAGCTAGGTTTTCCAAATGTTTGATATCTGGAACCAGGAACCAAATATGAAATGGAAAATGGGTACATTTTATGTAGGTCTAGGAGTCCAGGGAGGGCTCATTTAGGCACAAACCCTTTACCATGATCTGAATGATTTCTGTACTATTCATCCATCTATTCATCCCATCATTCATCCAAGGAGTTTAAAATAGTGTACATGGTTATCTCTTTCCCATTTTAACCTCACAACTACCCCTTAAGCTGAGAGAGAATGATAGGCTGATATCCGGAAAGGGGGGGGGGGGGGGCTCAGAGGGGCTTCCAGCCTGGCCTTTATCATAGAGTTTAAACGTTCTTGTTGGAAATTGGAATTTTGCACACACACAAAAGATCATATCAAGACCTTTGGGTTGCCAGCTGCAGATTGAGAAATTCCTGGATATTCAGGGTTGGAGGCTGGAGAGGACGGGATTGGGGAGGGACTTCAAGGCCATATAATGCCATAGAATCCACCCTCCAAAGCAGCTATTTTCTCCAGGGGAACTGGTCTCTGTTGTATGGAGATTTGTTGTAATTCTGGGAAATTTCCAGGCCCCATGTGGAGGTTGGCAACCCTAGCTTAGGAGCTAATAGCTGCTTCTGATGCAGCACACCTACACTACAGACTTACATTATTTAAACCACTCTAAATGGGATGACACCCCCCCACACACACTCCAAGGATATTGAGAACTGTACTTTGGAAAGGGTGCCAGGAATTTCCTGTTTACGATCTCTAGCCCTCTCTGCCCTCACCTGGGATGGCCCAGGCTAGCCCGATCTTGTCAGATCTTGGAAGGTAAGCACTGGGTTGGCCCTGGTTAGTATTTGAATGGGAGGCCACTAAGGAATTCCAGAGTTGCTATGCAGAGGCAGGCAATGACAAAACACCTCT